AATTCAGATAGAAATTATTTCCGTTCCCTTATCTCACCGTGTTGACTGTGTGATGCTTGTGCCTGTTGTGTGCAGGGCAGGAGGCCTGGGCTGGGGCAGGGACCAGCTAGATCTGTTACTTGCCTGGGCCCTTCCTGCAGCCACAAAGGTGGCTGCCCAGAAGCCTGGTTTTTGTCATTTATGAGAATCAGCTCAATCATTCTCACTGAAGTCAGTGGTTCCCAGGTGGATGGTTTTGCCTGCTAGGGGACATCTGGCCGTGCCCAGAGACATTTCGAGTTGCCATAACTGAGGACAGAGGGCAGTTGCTGATAGCATCTGATGCATGGAGGCACGGAGGCTGCTAAATATGCCGTAAGCACAGCACAGCCCCCACGACAAAGAATGTCGGGCTCAAAAGTCAGTAGTTCCATGGTAGAGAAATCTTGAAAATAAATGGCCAGTGAAGTCCCTGACGTACCTTCATTAATTTTGCTGCCATTATGTCCTCCACTCGCCATGGAACTGGTTCATCCACAGTCCACTCCCTCTACAGTAACGCTCTCTTATCCCTTTCTCCCCACCCTGTCCCACCTTGAAATCGCCTGTCACACTCTTGTTCTCCCCATTTGTATTTATGATGTACATCCTCCCCCCTTATCCTCGGGGGTTATATTTTAAGACCCCTTTGGGATGCCTAGGAGATAGTACTATGAATGGTATTAACCCTGTATATACTATATCTTTATCCCTACACATTCATACCTATGATAAAGTTTAATTTATAAATTAGGCACCGCAGGAGAATTAACAGCAGCTAAGTATGAAGTAGAACATTTATAACAGCGTGCTATGAAGAAATTATATGAATATGGCCTCATTTTCTCCAAATACTGTATAGTATTCTACCCACCTTCCTCCTCCTTGTGATGTCAGATGATACAGTGCCTAGGGATGAGATGGAGTGAGGTGACAGATGTTATAAGGTTATATGAGGCTGCTGTTGACTTCCTGAAAATATATCAGGAGGAAGACGATCTGCTTCAAATGACCCTGGATTGTTGAGCCGTAGGCAGTGTATACAGCATGGATACACCAACAATGGAATGATTCACATAGGATTTCATCACACTGCTCAGAACAGTGCACAGTTTAACATTCCTGAATTGTTTATATCTGGAATTTCGCATGTTATATTTTCAGACCGTGATTGACCACAGGTGACTGAAGCCAAGGAAAGCCAAACTCTGGATGAAGGGGGTCAACTATACTGCATTATCATTGTTGTGTACGGCCCCGCTCCACTGAAAACACTTGGAGTACAGGACCCATAGCTGGTTCTCGCTGTGTGCTCCGGGGCAGAGGTTCCTGTCCTGGCAATGCCTGGAAACCCCAGAGCTTTCCATGGAAGCACATGCCGAAGGCCAGGGGCCGGTGAGATTGGGATTTGCGGGTCCAAGGCATCTAAACATTTTACATACAGTCTCAGGGAGTTCACAGACCCCTACGGCCCTCTCTAATCCCTGGCTGGGAGCACCTAATGGAGGTGACAGGAACACCCATTGTGTTGGGAATGTCTTCTTAAAATAATACCAGTACTGTTGCAGTGTGAGATATGGTACAGATGCAATGTGTGTGTTTAGAAATTTTCTTTTCTAAAACTAGATCTAAAAACTAGATCCTCTGTAATCTAGTTGCCATGAAAGTGGGCCTAGTGGTCCCGAATACACATCCTTACCCATGATAGTAAGAGAAGGAACAATTGGCATTAAGGATCAGCTTGTTTAGAAAACATCAGAGTGAGCACCAAAGGCTTTAAAAATATATTTATCTTAGTTAATAGAAGCTGGAGCAAGATCTTTTATAAGATCTTTGTCCACACAGATGCAAAGTAATGACTTCTATTTGTATGTTTTGGGAAGGTGCCCTCTTCTCTATGTTTGGGTTGAGGGAAGAGTTGAATGTGAGACTTGTAAGGCAAACCAAATAATTCAGAATATAAATACTCCTACTTGAGTGGGAAAAGTCCTAAAACAATCCCGGGTAACAAATGCCCGTTGTCAGTGTTGTGTCCACGGACGTGGAGTGGCGCGGGGCTTTGGGCAGCGGAGCAGGTGGTACTTTTCTGGACGTCTTTGCCAGAGTTCATCTTGTTCCTGGGCTTATTCTTGGGCAGCTGTGGTAAACATCCCGTTCTGAGATGTCTTCTGATCCAAACATTGAGGGCTTGTTTCAGCTAGAGAATCTGCCAGGCTCTGGGCAGTTCTTTCTATTTTTATTGTATGTGTGTGTGTGTTATTTTTTCTACCCTCTGAACAGAAATACTTCACCACCATTTAAGAAGAACATCAGGAGGCTCTGTATTCCTATTCGCACCCCAGATTTAAAATGCAGTTCACAGGGAGTTAAGAACATAGAGTGTAAATATACATGGGTGTGTTTGTTTCTCCTCCAGTCTGAGTTTTTATATCCGGGCTTTAAAAATTAGCCCATGGTTCAAAAAGATGAGCAGCAATTCCTATCAGCAAAGCACCTAGTGGTGAAATATTCTTGCCAGTTTCTATTGAAGATTATAATCTGCTTTAGGTACAGAGGATGGCAGTGGGGGTGGGGGTTGAGCTGCATTTTTTTCTTTAAGCCTCTTTATTAATTAGAAATTAATCTTCCTAATGGTAGAAGCTGCCGTCTTTGCCTCTGTATCCTCTCAGTGGCCAGAGCTTAGCACCTTGTATGTGGGGGTTCAGTGCCTCCTTGTTGCTAGTGGTAAATACATTTTAAAGACTAGAATTTGACCTACTAAAAATGCATGAGAAAGTTCCGTAGGGCATTGTAGGGAGAAGCAAAAACACCTTGGGGATTTTTTGTTTGGTTTGGTTGGGTTTTTTGTTTTTTTGAGACAGGGTTTTGCTATGTAGGCCAGGCTGGCCTCAAGCTCAAGGCAGTCCTCCTGTCTCAACCTCCCACGTGCTAGAATTACAGTGTGTGCCACCATGCCCATACCCAGCTTGTGTTGGTTGGTTGGTTGGTGGGTTATAGAGTCTGATTACATAGTTCTGGCCTCACATTCACCGTGTAACCCAGGCTGGCCCCAAAGACGTGATCCTGCCTCAGCCTCCTGAGTGCTGGGATTACAGGTTTGTGCCGTCTTATCTGACTTGATATTTTTGTTTGTTTTGGTTTTTCAGCATTTAGACACAGCATTTCAGAAAAATGACATGGTCCTGCCCTTATTTGGAGCCTTTCTGTCTCAGTGGAGTGGGGGAATCCAAGTTTAGTAATCCAGTTTAACTGCTACTTTGTGCTCTCGGGATGTACGACTGACTTCTAGTTTATCCCAGAAGGTGATAAAACTCTAAATTTGTTGTATGACAGTACCACAATACTCTGGGCAAGTGTGTCTTTGTGAGCTGATTCTTTATCTAGGAATTAACGTGGCCATTTTTGTGCTGGTTGGGAGCTGAAGTCTAATTCCTTTCAGTGTGGTCTTTTGCCATGATAGATGAGCTGTGTGTGTCGGGAGTGTCGACATGGGGACAAGGGAGGATAGCGCCCTGCCCTGCGAGGGCAGTGTCTCAGTAACTTTAGTAACTTTCTCATTACTGGGATGAAATACAGAAAACAACTTAAGTAAGAGAGGGTTACTTTGGCTCAGGATTCCAGTACACGGTCAGCTGGCTCCAAGGCAGAAACAGGATGGCAGAGGGACATGACAAAGGCAGAGGTGCGCAGCCCATGGCAGCCAGGAAGCAGAGAGAGAACGGAAGAACTAGAAGCCAGATGCACCCTTCTAGGTGACACCTTTCCCTGGGACCCCTGCATGCACCCGGGCCCCGCCTCCCAGCGGCACATTCGTTTAGTAAACTCATCAGTAGATGATTACAGCCTCCCATCCCAACCGCCTTCCATGCACATGAGACTTCTAGAGGACATTTTAGCTCTAGACCATAAGAGGCAGTGTCTGAGGGCGGCCCGATGAGAAAGCTCCCTAATTCCAGCGCCGCATCTTGTTGCAAGGACCGATGTGCCTCTTCTTAAAAAGATGTCTGCCTAGTTGAACCTGAGCAGGTAGTCAGGGGAAAGCCCGGCAGGCTTTGAGAAGAGGGCGAGGCCCTCCCACTTGCACTGGTGCCAAGCTCAGAAGCAGCCTTCTGAGTGGTTAAGAAACTTGAATGAGATTTCCTTCCACCCCGAAAGTGAGGCTGCAGTGCTCGGGGAGAAAGGTCCGACGCAGGAGGTGAACTTCCTGCAGTGTGAAGTGGCCTGCAGCCTTCCTCTGCTCTCACCCGGTCACACCGCCCTCAAGAGCAAGGCCCGAAGGGCAGCCTTCTCCGCGGCCTACCTGAGCCGCTAGCCTGAGTCAAGCAGGAATAGCAGGGGCCAGCAGAAAGACTGATAGTATTTTCAAAATTGCCTTTATGCAAGAACTAGTCTGGAGACATCTAATATTCCCTGTCCCCCAAGCAGTTAAATTCCTTTTTAAAAGGTTCACAGAAACTAAGGACAAAGCAGGTTGGCTCAGCATTTTCGTTTGAGAAATTTGCAGTAAAAGAACTAGTTTTCATCTGCTAAAAGTAATGAAAGAGAGGCATGAAAAGCAATATATTTCTGATTCTGGAAATGCCCCTAATTTTAATGCAAGATAGTACAGTATTAATGATGCATAGGCACTGAGACTTTCTGTGTGAAACGCTTCACTCATCTTGAACCGAGGTGATTGAGATAATACAGAGTAAAGCTGGGCATGGTGGTACATGCCTGCAATCCCAATATTCTAGGAGGCTGAGGCCAAAGGATCACAAGTTCTAGCCCAGGCTGGCCAACTTTAAAAAGAAAAAAAAAATTTTAAGGGGCCACGGATGTAGCTCAGTGCAAAGACCCTAGCTTCGATCCCTAGCGCTGACCACAAGAAGAGGAGGGATACAGCATAAACCCAGGAAGCTGAGTGGGTAGGGACCTCAGAGGCTCGCCCTGGTGAGAGCTGTGCGGTGGCCTGATGACACACTGTGTTTCTTTGTCTGCAGTATGCCACCACGGGCTGTTCCCTGACTCTGCACCACACAGAGAAGCCAGAACACGAAGACATCTGTGAATACCGTCCCTACTCCTGCCCCTGTCCCGGCGCCTCCTGCAAGTGGCAAGGGTCCTTGGAAGCCGTGATGTCCCACCTAATGCACGCCCACAAGAGCATTACCACGCTTCAGGGAGAAGACATCGTTTTCCTAGCTACAGACATTAACCTGCCGGGGGCCGTCGACTGGGTGATGATGCAGTCGTGTTTCGGCCATCACTTCATGCTGGTACTGGAGAAGCAGGAGAAATATGAGGGCCACCAGCAGTTCTTCGCCATTGTCTTGCTCATTGGCACCCGCAAGCAAGCTGAGAACTTCGCCTACAGACTGGAATTGAACGGGAACCGACGGAGATTGACCTGGGAGGCCACGCCGCGGTCCATTCACGACGGTGTGGCCGCCGCCATCATGAACAGTGACTGCCTTGTTTTTGACACAGCCATCGCACACCTTTTTGCAGACAATGGGAACCTTGGAATCAATGTAACTATTTCTACCTGTTGTCCATGAAGCCCCTCGAGGCTTTCATAAACCATTGAGATTATTTGGGCACAGTGCTCTATGTTTCATAAAGGTTTTATAGATGTTTTATTCAGTATGTCCTCACAGGTCAGGACCCACAGTTACCCCATGTTTTGTTTGAACAGCAACTTCCCATCTGGCATTAAACCAACAAAGTTCATTAAACTGGGATGAATGGAGTTGGCCTGTTAGTAATTTGGAGGCTGTTCTGTGATCTAAAACCAACTCTCTTATTAAATTGTATTTAACTTCCTGAACAACACTTGGCATGTAGCTCAGGACTCCACAGACCAGTACATTAGAAATTGGAGGCCCCTTCCTGCCTGCTTGCCAGTATTGGTCCCCCAGTGTTGGCAAAAGTACAGTGACTGTCAGGAGGTTCCCTTTGTTTTTAGGAGGTAGGAATTATTTCAGTGCATTTTCAGTAGTGTCTCAAACTGGATGGCTGACCTGAATACCTAAAACCACCTGGAGTGCATATCTTACAAATCTTTGGGGAGTCCATGAATTTTAATAGTCTTACCAAGTGATTCTTTTCCATAATGAAGGTTGAGAGTTACTGGCTTAAATTGTGGGAAAGGGTCCAGATGTTAAAGGTGCTTTAAGATTGCCCTCTACTGATACTGTCTGTCTTTCTACTGTTTCACACCCTCACATCCCCGCCCAACACCCCACCTGAAATTAAAACTAGAACTTTAGGTCCACGTGAGCACGCTCCTGAGATGTGGTCACTGTAGTGTGTTTGGGTGGATCACCAGGAAAACAAGTCATATGGCCACTAGTAGTTCTCACACAGTTTCTGCTCACCTCTAGGACAGATGACCTGTTGACACTTGGCCTCCCTCAAAGCCTTCCTGGACTATAGATGGAGTGAAAGACTAGATCAGTAGTTGGAAAAGCTTTATAACCAGTGTCATATGCTTGCTATTTAAAGGTATGTGTTGGTTTTTTTGCCACATTCACTTTAGTTTTTTAATAAATATTTTTCAAAAATGAATGTTGTGCTTCATTTTCCTACCTGAGTACTTTGTTTATTGAGCATGTACTATGTGTAGGTGTAGTAAAGCTTCCCCACAACTGAGCATTGTGGTGCATGCCTATGATCCCAGCACTTTGCAAGGCTGAGGCAGGAGGATCACAAGTTTGAGTCCTGCCTGAGCTACTTAATTACTTAGTGAGACCCTGTCTCAAAAAAACGACTAGGAATGTAGCTCAATGCAAAACATGGGTTTGATCCCTAATTTAAAAAAAAAAAAAAATTTCACTGCTACCTCTGGGGTTAGAGCTATCAGTGTTTTTCTACGTGAGGATGCAACATTTGTCCAAGGTCATGGTGCAAGTCTCTGTCAGCACCAGAGTCCAAGTCCATGTCCCTGAACTGTGGGCTGTCATTGATATTGCAGTCTTCTCACCAGGACAGTGCTTTCTGACTGCCCACTTCTGTGCAAGAGGATTACTGCTCCCACTTTGCAGAATAAAAAAGAAGAGGCTTGGCTGGTGCTAATTCCTTACGGTACCAGGGCTGATCCAAGGTTCCAGCCCTAACTCTCAAATGAATTCAGATTAGCTCTGAATGTATTTAAGACTGCTTTTCCCAGTGGCCTGATTTCATTAGCATGGTACCAGATGGAAGTGACAGCTTTGGAGGTGATTTTGGATTTTAAGTGCCATAGAGTGCTGAGTTTTTACCAGCATGGAGTTCTGGCAGTCAAGGTATTCCTAAGGTGTCTTAGTTACATGTTGCTGGGACAAAATACCCAACACCCAAAGTTAAATGGAGAAAGGTTTATTTAGCTCACGGTTTGTAGAGGTTTCAGTTCATAGTTTGCTGGCTCCCAAGACAGGGTGGGCATGGCAGAGGGGAAACAGTCCATGGCAGGCAGAAGACAGCAAAAGTGACCAAGCGACAAACTATAAGTAACTAGCAGCAAGCCTCTTTCTGACCCTTTCACTGAATCCAGGCTATCTGCCCCTAGGGGATCATCCTAGCACCCTTAATCCTAGCATTACTCTGTGGATCCATCACACCCTAGATCCAGCCCCCTCTGAAAAAGCCCCACCTGTGACTGCGTGAGGCTTGGAGGGGACATCCACACCAAAGCCATAACATGAAGTAACTTCTAAGCTATTCAGAGGTGGAAAATAGCTTCCAGAGTGGGTGCTTAACAACATATTTGGTGAATGATTGAAAACTAACTGCTGTCACCAGGAAAGTCACATTAGCAGCCTGCAGGGGACTCTCAGAGATGAAACTAGGATCCAGGAGCAGGTGGACTTTGACCCTCAGGGCTGGAGCTGCTCTCATAGCGCACCCGGTATGTGCATGGCATCCCGGCAGCAAGCTGTCAGCCAGCATCACTCTGTGCCCACATCTTAGCCTTCCTGTTACATATGATGGGGGGAATCAGGCCACCCTGGTCCACACCGCACAAAGGATAAAGTTATAAAGAAGAGACCATAAAGAAGGAGACCCTGGAAATAAATTACCACACCAAAGGTGAGATTTTTCAGCCCAAAGAGATAAATGATCGTCCAGCATCCAGACAGTGCGTTAATGGAAGAACGGATCCTATAATGCAAATTCAGGCTTCCACAGTTGCCCCCTCAATAAATAAAAGCACAGTTGTAGAAGATACTCTGAACTTTTTCAGTTACGTAGATCTCTTTTATCTCTGTCACTGACAGTAAATTTGAGCCTTTACTCTTTGACTTCTTTAAAAGTAAATTTTCCCCCAGAAAACAGAAATCCCCAGGTTAGTCCCTGTAAAGAGGAAGTGTAAACAGCGGAAAGATTATGTAAATTGAGTGCCTTTTTATGTAGCTCTAATTGCAAATGCAGTTTTAAACATGACAAGCATTTGTCAGAATTCATCACACAGTCCAATTCAGTATCATATTTTAAAAAATAAATTTTTTTGTTTCTTAGCTCAGTATTCTAATTTGATAAAAATCTGGCTTATCAAAAAAAAAAAATGATAGATTCAGCCTTGTGACTTACAATGCCTGAGCTATTTTAAAGATAAAGGGGTTCTCGCAAAGTACACTGAAAGAAAATATTAAATCACTATTTTTTTAAAAAAACCAACCCATCAGCCATCTTTGAGAACAGAGGTTCCCAGTCACTCTGTGAAGACTTGGTCTTCCTCAAACCTGAGGATATTAGAGAGGTTTTTGAGAGGCCAGAGTTCTTATGGTGAACTCTCCAGAAGGAAGTAAAGCAAACTTCGGGAAAGAGCCGGAGAGGCCCCTGCCAGCTGGGAGTCCTCTCAAGTAGAACCTCAAACTCTAGGAACAGATCCGAACTATTGGTTGAGTGTCTCTGTTCTAGCAGCCTCATCAACTTCATTACAAAGCCATGCCCTGGGGAACCCCTGGGAACTGTTCTGGACTAACTTCACTCAGGTTCTGGAAACTTGCCAAGTAGCCAGCACTGTGACCCTAGATTGGCCGCTTGACCTCTCTGATCCTGAGTTTCTTAACCTGTAATATTAGGTTTATTTTCTAAGTGTCTGTGCTACATTCTGTGAGACAACCACGCTACCATAATTAATGTTAAAGCGAAGGTATGCTCGTCGTTTCAGCCTGTGTGGAAGTGCCTCTGAGGTACCCATGACCGGCATGTGTCCGTCAGCCTTGGGTGAGTCATGCTGCAGCTGCATCTCAGCCTTCCACAGTTTCAGGCTGGGGTGGTGCCTGGGCACAGAGACCTGTCCTGCTTTGTAGGTCTGGCCGCTCCTGATTCACACAGCCTGCATGAAAGTGTGATTATGATTGCACTGACCTGTGAAAGGGAGGCAAGAACGCTTAAAGGATAGGAAATCTAGTTCTCTGTATGGTTAAACCTGCCTCTGCTAGTTAACTTGAAGCTTAAATTTTCTTTTTTGTGTGTGAATATGGTTAATTTGTTTTGTCATACCCAAATGAAAGAACTTTAGGCCCTACCTGAAGGCAACACCCACCTGCACCACCATTTTAAGAATAAATAAATAAGACCTCTGGAGGGGAAGCCAGTGGCCCACAACCACACAACTGGTTAGAAAACCATGCTTTTCTATGATGACGACATAGTCTTTATTGAGGAAAAGAGAAAAAATCAAAACTATTAAACCTGCAAGCCAACATTTTGTGATGGTAAAGGCAAATGAAGGGAATTTGCTCCCAATTCTGACTCCACCAGCTCCCCTTTTCCACTGCCACCACCCCGGCCTGGACTACTCTCAGAGCTCTTAATCACTGGTCCTCTTCCTGTCGCTCAAATGCATTCTTCCCAGGTGGTCAGCTCTTTTTAAATAACAGTCAGTGGTGTCACAGCTACTTAATATGCAATTTCAGAGCACCTTGTTCTTTTCCTTTATAGCAGCACAATTGCAGTTGTTATTTCATTTGTTCAACATCTGCCTACCTTCCGCAAACTCCAGGTAAGGAAATCTGTGAAGTTTTTGTTCACCCTTATATCCCTGGACCTAAGCACCCAATTAATATCTGATTGAATAAATTACCACTAATCAGCTAATCTAATAGCAGCATTTACATCAACACCTGAAGAGTTATTCTCTGTTTTGGCACCAAAAGCCACTGGGGAAATTGCCACAGGTAGGCAGGAAGCAGAGATGTAAGATAAGCTAACAGTTCAGAGAAGGGGGGAAACGGGGTTCCTCCACCCATGTCCTTCTCTAACAAAGACAGAACCGCTGCTCTGAAGGCTCTGGGCCTTGAGATTACTAATCCCATGGCGTTCCCTGACATTCAGATCAAAAACAGACCCCGCTCTGTTTGATGATCCCTGCAGAGTGCACAGATCAAAGTCCCTTTGACCACTGGGAATGGAATCAAGGATTAATCCATTTTTAGAATCCACTTGGGTCACAGGGGTTGCCATTTATTGGACACCTACTATGTGCAAAGTACTTTGCTTATATTAACCCTTTTAATTCTTCCAACAAGATAAGTGAGGTTTATTATCCCCATTTTGGAGCTGCGAAACTTAAGGTTTGAACAGACCGAAACACTCACCTTCCCTCACACAGCTCGTGCGTGGCAGAGTCGGGACAGGAACCCGTCGCACAATCCATGCCTGTTCACCTGATGACATGGCCCATCATGATGCGCAGTTCCTTTTCACACATCTTCACCACTGACAGAAACACGGCTTCTGTGTAACAGAGAAAGATGAGGGATGGAGACCTAGAGGTCACTCAGACTCTTACTACCTCAAGTGCGACTCAGGACCCCGCAGCATCAACAGCCTCTGGGAACCTGTTGGAAGTGTAACGTCTCAGGCATATCCAGAACTAATGAATCAAATCTGCACTTTAACCCAATGTCCAGGTGACTTGGATGCACGTTCCAGTTTGCAAAGCTCTAGTCTAGACCAGGGACCATCCACCCATGTGTCCTTTAGAATCATCCAGAAGTTTTACAGGGTGCCAGGACCTCACTTAGAATCATTGACAGGAAGGAGCTTCTCTTCTTTTTGTAAAGCTTCCTAGGAGAAGCCAGCATATGCACTCAGAGGTAAAGAAGCACTGACCTAGTCCAACCCCACTGCCTTATTGACTCCTATTTTCCCCTCATTTTACACTGCAGTTAACGCAAGTGGAGTGACCTGCCGGGGATAATGAAAAGAGCATGGACTCTGGGGATAAACAGATTCAAATTTGGATCCTGATTCTGCCACTTATTAGCTTTATTTGTTTAAGCTGGAGGTAACTCACTTGTCTCACTGGGGCATTTATAAGATGGCCATAATACCACCCACCTCACATGGCCAGTGTGAGAAACATAAATGCAGAGCACCAAGAAGATCATGTTAGTAGGTGGAAGAACCACAGTAAATGGGCAGTGGTGCTAATCCCAGCTACTAAGGAGCCCAAGGCAGGAGGATCGCAAGTTCAAGACCAGTCTGGGCAATATAGTGAGAACTTGTCTCAAAAAAATAAAATAAAATAAAAGGGAAAAGCAATAACTGACTGCCTAAGTCAGAGCACTTGGGGC